ATAATATTTTCTGTGACAATACAAAATTAGAATACAAATATAAAACACTTAATACAGTGGTTCTCAACCTTCCTAATGCTGCAATGTATTTTCATTATTTGGGGGTCATGACCTGGAGGTTGAGAACTACTGACTCAATAGCTTATGGAATATAATTGCTTATCAAATTTAATAGAAAGGTATTGTAAAATATATTACATTAGAGAACAAGAATGTTTCAAGAGCAAAAACATTTCTAACAACAAGAGAGTTCAATAGATTCATTTATATATCTTATATCCTTACATTTTATGCATTTATATTATCTAACCATTGGTAGCCAATCATTGCAATTCTAAGAATTTCTAAGGATTATTCTATTATAACCATCAAGAATTTGAGGCTATTGTTTGTTTGAGAATTTTGTTTATTTTTACCATATACTTGTTTATTTGTTGTGAGAACACTTAAAATTAAATCTCAGTTTTCAAGTAGAAGATACCAGTTTACTCACTGTAGTTCATAAGTTGTATGGTTACTAGACACTATGATTTCATTCTTCCTGTCTAACAAAATCATGTATCCTCTGACCCTCATCTCCCCTTCACCTGCCCCAGCCCCTGGTAACTGCAATCTATTTGAAGTTGTTGAATCTGAATCACTGAGCAAAGTTAGCTATCATCTCAGCCAAGTTAGACCAGGGAGACTCAAGTCTAATTTTACCATGTACAGAATGCCGTCATCTGCTAACACGACAAAACTAAGGACAGAAAAAAACAAAACCAGCTCAAAACAAAAACTGGGTAACTACTCTGGGAAAATGAAGCTTGAAGGCCAAGCTTCAAAGGTTGTGTTTTAGGAGCCCTGAGATTAGACACAAGAGTCTACATTTTTGTCAATCACAAGGGCTTTCTGGCGTTCACTCTAAGGTTTGAGAATAAACAGCTAACACTAATTCATGTAAAGTGTTAGCCATTGGAAGAATTTCTCTGAGTTTCTGAAGCTACAGTCCAGCTTCTCTCCCCTCTTGCCTTTCTTTGCAAATGGAAATCTCCCTACCCAGCTTGGAGGGAAGGTGGAGGGAGAAGGAGGAGGAGGAGGAATCTGGACAGAGAAAAAGAGGAGCCCCAGAGGGTTGAGGACAGGAAAGATCCGGACAGTGGTGGGTGGAGGACGCACAGCTCACTTTCCCTTCCTGCACAGCACCTCCGGGAATCTAAGCTACCTAATAAGAGAACCTCATAACTTGAAACAAATTAGAACTCAGTGGAGCAGATGGTCTACAGCAGTATAATGCCATCTTATTGAAAAATAATAAATATATAAGTAACAATATCCCAGTTGGAAATTTAGCTTTATGGAGCTTCCAACACTCATTTGCAAACTTACAGAGTTCCTTAGCTCATCTGGCTCTGAGAGGTCCTGTGTACTCAGATACCTTCATGGCACCCCGAAGGCTACTCTACTCAGTTTTTCTTTGTATTTTCTGAGTGGATTGAGTTCTGTTTTTTTTGTCTGTTATGGTGGGTGACATTTGCTTTGAATTTTATGTTCTTTATTATCTCCCATTGATTCCCCTGTTCATTATTTATTGTGCATTCATCTGCTCCCTCCTGAGTGACTTCGACACAAAGCTATTTCAGTGCCAGGAAGTGGGACGATGGCAGACACACACCACGGCATTGGCCGTGTCAAATGAAAACATCGTCCTGGGGGGATCTGACGGGGCGGACGAGCTGCAGCCGGCTGGACTGCGGCAGCGGGAGCAGGGTCTAGGTCTCGTTTCCCTTTTCCTATTTTGTTTCTCACCACAGCACAGAGATAAGGAGGAGGGAAAAAATGAATGAAGAGTCAGTGAAGGAAAGAAGAAATATAATGGGTGACTGTGGGTGGGTCCTTTGGGGCCCCCTCTTGAGGAGGAAGGTCCTCAGAGCCTCAGTCACCACCAGGTGCCACACACCGAGGTCACAGTCCCAGTGGCCTTCCCTTGGGCTTCTGTGTCCAGAGTGACCCTGGGTGAGGGAGCTGTCTGCAGCCGAGCACTGTCTGCACAGCCCCACACACCGAGATCACAGTCCCAGTGGCCTCCCCTTGGGCTTCTGTGTCCAGAGTGACCCTGGGTGAGGGAGCTGTCTGCAGCCAAGCACCGTCTGCACAGCCCTTCCTTGGAGGGGATTCAATCGCCCCAACTCTTGTCCTCCACCTGGGAGTGGAGTCGACACCAGGAGCCTCCTGATGGTCTCTGAGCCAGGCGGCTGCCTGCACTTACTTGCTGGTTCCCAAGCCAGGCTGCTGGGAGGAAGGCCCCAAAGTTTACAAGTTCCCTCCACACACATTTCTGCCTGATGACCTAGTAAAACGCACAGGGAAAGTGCTTACCTTAGACTTTCTGGGATGCTACAAAAAGTACCTTAGACTGGTGATTTACAAATAATTGGAATTTGTGCCTCATAGTTGTGGAGATTGGGAAGTGTCCCAGGTCAAGGCACCTGCAGATTCAGTGAAGGCTGCTCCCTGCTTCAGAGATGATGCCTCTGGCTGGGTCCCCGCATGACAGAAGGTGGCAGGAAACCCCTTCAACTTCTCTCCTAAGCACAATATCCCCATTTATGAGAGCAGCACCCTTGTGACCTGTCGCTTCCTGAGGGCCCTACCTCTTCATAGCTTCACATTAGGTGTGAGCCAAGGCATCCGAATTCCTACATCAGAGGTCTGTTGGAAGGCTGGAGGGTGGTAGATGCCCCCCAAACACAAACCATCACAGAATGTTACCGAGAAGATGTAAGATAATGTGGGGAATCAGGGGCTCTGTGGGGTGGATCCCTGGGCATGTCAGAATATTCACTGGCCACAGGAGAGAGTGAGTCAGGAGGAGTGAGGACTGGGTGACGGCCATGCTGAGAGGACCAGATGCACTAGACATTGGTGACTGAGGACAGTCCCAAAGGACAATTCCTGTGATCATCTCTAGTGCAGCCGTCTGAATGTCAGTGACGTGAAAACACCACCACGCAGGGTCGCTCGTGGGCTACTCTGTTCAAGCCAAAGATGGTACATTAATTGTCTCTAACCCTTACCCCGTCTGCCTGTCCCTGGATGCTGTTAGTTGGCTTCTCCAGAGAAAGAAAGCAGCTGGTTGTGTGTGTGTGTGTGCACCCATACATATGTGTGTGTGTGTGTACACATACATATGTGTGTGTGTATCTATCATGTAGGTGTAAACATTCCACCACCACCAATATAGGTTTGAACTGCATGGCTCTGCTTAGGCATGAATTTTTGAAAATAAATATATTGAAAGAGTTTTTGAAGATTTGGGACAATTGAAAAAAAAAAAACTCACAGATGAACCAGAAACCCTAGAAACATGTACATATATATATATGTGTGTATATATAAAATGATAATTAGGAAAAAGTTAGGTGTGTCATGAACACATAAAATACATGTAAAATAGATACCAGTCTATTTACATGTTAAACAACGGTTTATGTTATTGGTGAGGCCTCTGGTAACTTAGTTGTTAAGTCTACAGGGAGTCAAAAGTTACACATGGATTTCCCCGTGTGGGGGTTGGGGAGGAGGCAGAGGACAGGGTCCCTAATCCCCATCGTGTACCAGAGACAAATGCATAAGTCTCTTTACTTGAATGTGTAAATACCAAGGCTTACAAGGAATTGGCTCTTATATTTATGGGGACTGATAGCACCCAAGGAGCTCAGGCAGTGAGCTGACAAGCAGGAGGGAGGTGTGGGAGGGCTAGTGCCTTCTGCACTGCCCGTGTGGTGGCCTGGGGGACCGTCACCACCGTGCCTTCTGCACTGCCCGTGTGGTGGCCTGGGGGACCGTCACCACCCGGGCCTTCTGAGCTGCCCGTGTGGTGGCCTGGGGGACCCTCACCACCCGTGCCTTCTGCACTGCCCTTGCGGTGGCCTGGAGGAATGTCACCACCCGTGCCTTCTGAGCTGCCTGTGTGGTGGCTTGGGCGACTGTCACCACCTGTGCCTTCTGCACTGCCCGTGTGGTGGCCTGGGGGA